AGAGGGATTATGTAAAACACAGATTATTAAAAAACAACAACAAAATGCACATAAATCTTTTGGATTCTGTATGGGGAAAGGAAGGGCAAACAAAATTTCAGTTGTGAAATACACCAGTTGTGACTGGTGAGCAGGGAAAGATGTTTTATTAACTTGCCCATCCCATATTTTGCATGGAAACTCCACACAGTCTCTGTAGATTAGCATAATCATACTACTCCTCACCCTCAAATAATGCCCCACTTTATTTTCCCCTGAGATCTCAACTAAATGTATTAGATTTGCAACAAGCATGGTTAAAAACCTACAGAACTGGTAGATGTATCATATCATAACTTTTTCAAAGTAATAATAATAAACGTTAATGAAATATATTTTATTGACAATTGTTATGGTGACCTGCTTTACAGATTAAGAATTGTGAGGAGATGATTTGAGAGAGAGAGAGAGAGAGAGAGAAGAGAAGTAGAGCCAAAGAAAGCATGTGCTCCACTCAATGAAATAACCATCTATTGAGTTGAGGTAATCCAAAGCTCACTGTTAAACTTCAACAGCACTGTCAGATTGACAGTTCAACTAAATCACACACATAAGATCCATGTAATTACTGTGTGGCCTTTGGCTCCAGTATGAACTTCTTTTTAGAGCCAGGTTTGCTGGTACTATTGTGGATGATGCTAGCAAGCACTTAGGAAAGTGTTTGTTCTTGGTGCTTACATCTACTGTGAGAAATATCTTTTTATTTTATTTTATTTTTAATTTTCACAGGATTCAGAGTAGGAGGAAAGGGAAAGGAAGAGAACTGGATTTTGTCCAAATGCACTCAGTAGTTCACTTGAAATTTAACTAAGGGTCACTGATGAAATAGAGTGGATGAATTCTCAAGGATAATTACAGAGCAGGCAAGATCTCAGAAAAGAACAGTCTGAGTTCAAGCACAGTTTGCAAGACACAACAAATATGTTTTCGTGCTGTGACAAATAATCTGGCACATATTTGTTGCACTGATAAAAACCTGAAGACTGAAGATAACCTGCTTCCAGCTTCAGAGAACTGTTAATGAGAACATTCGAAGCAGATGAAATTTGCTGTTGACTTCACAGAGTTGGAAAACAAAGTGAGCTAATATCTGAGGGTACAGGGCTTACGAGCTCTTCTTCCTTCCCACCACACAGCTGCACCTGTACCACAAAGTAGAGTGGGGTCTCACCTGGCCACCAGATGACCGAGTCCTAGCATCTCCATGTTGTGGAAGATGCTCTGAAGATGCATGTGACCTAAGGATTTACAGCTACTGTCAGAGACTCAACCACAAAGCAGGATCCATGTACTCTCTTGGCTGTCAAGGCCAAACCATTTTAACAAGAACTTTCATGGTATTTATTGTGGTTTAACCCAGCAGGTAGCTCAGCACCACAAAGTTGTTCGTTCTCTCCCTGCCTTCTCAATGGGTAAAGGAAGAGAGTCAGAAAAGAAAAGTGGAATTTACGGGTTGAGATAAAACTACTTACTAAGATAGAAAAAAGGAAAATAGTAATGACTATACATACATATAGGAATGTATATAACAAGCAATGTGCAAGCAACCACTCACCACCCCTGATCGGTGCCCAGCTAGCTCCTGGAGCTGCAAAAGAAACATCAGCTCCCACTCCCTTCAAAACTCTTTCTGCATGATGTCATAAAGGTATGGAATATTCCTTTGGCTAGTTGAAGTCAGTTGTCCTAATTCTGTTCCCTCTCAGCTCCTTGGGCCCTTTCCTGAGAATGGCCTTGGTTCTGTACAACACTGCTTAACAGCAACTATAAACATCACTGTGTTACAACATTGTTTTTCTACTAGAACCAAAACATTCCATCATACCAGACACTCTGAAGAAAGCTATACCACCCCAGCTGAAACTAAGATACCTTTCTATCACATTTTGGTACTGATAAGTCAGACCCTTCATACTTGATACTTCGGGGAATTCAAAATAATCGCTGTGGAACCCAACTGAGTTTCTGTGATACTTAGTGACAGATAATTTCTGCGTTCATTGATGTTTATAGGTGTAACAGCAACCAGACCTGCTATGATAGCTTTTCTGGTAGTTACACTTGGGATTCACTGCAGCTGAGTGATAGAATTATGCTGCCCTTGTCCCTGTTGATAGCAATACAGAGCATGAAGACATCATCTGTGTCACTCCAAATGGAACTCAGGTATATATTTATTTTCTATTTATTTTGCTCTGCAGCACAATTGCTTTGATACACTTGCCAAGTTAGATACATGTTGTGACTGAAAGTGAATTGATGTTTTAACCCAGAATTAGTAAACCTCCTTCAAAAAATCTTCTTGCACAGGAAATATTTCCAGCATGAACAATGATTATAGTAATTTAGACCTCTCATACTAACTTTACAATACAAGAGAGTTGCCAGCATCCTTAGTCTATCAGTGGTTATTAATTTATCTTGAAACAAGTAATGACAATAGAAGAGGAGGAAGTGGTGGTGCTGAACTGTGAGCAAGCAAGCATCCTTTCATGCCAAAATAAGATCCAAGTCAGTGTCACTCCAGAATAAAGATAATTATTACTTTAGAGCCTCATATGGCAATGGGCACATATAACTGAGATTCCAGCTTCATGTCAACAGTTACATACAGCTGAGGACATGTGTTTGGCTGACAAACGATGTGCAAATATTATTCTGTTGATGCAGAGACACAAAGTTTGAGGTGGCCTCAGTTAGTAAACAAAGACGGAAAATGTACCTCACACATTCACTCCATGCCTCAAAAACAAGCCATTTAGCGGAAGACATCTGGATGTTCAAAAATTAGCATGACGGTATTCAGAGCCCATCAAAACAGGCAGCCATGGCGCGGCGTCTCGTAGCTAAGCAACGCACTTCATACATTCAAAACATAGTTGTAAAAGTGGGATCCTCCTGCCAACTGCTGCCACTCTCATTGAAAAGCTAAACTGGAAAAAATCTTGCTCGAACTCAAAGTGGGACTGTTTTCTGCAGGAAACATCCCTGCTCCTTTTTCATTCTTTAACCCTTTTTCATGTTTACATTCCAAGATGAGCAAATAGATTCATGTTGACATTCTGACTGTAAGCATATAAAAATCGTGTGGATTCCCTGCAAAGAACATCATAAACACATGTAGCAAGAAACTATGATCCTGTCCTTTCTGAGCCAAATACACATGCAATGCCAAACAATGCGCCTGTGCACGCAGCCAGTCATCAGAACAGATTATGTTATCCGGAATTGCTCTGCTGCATGCACTACATTTAAACCTGGAAAACTGAAGCATGTGCCTTTCTTTTCCAGAGTATCTACATCCCTAAGTAACAACACAAAAAATATTTGCATCTTAAGAATGGAAGGAGACCAGGGGAATGGCGACACTTAGCTGATGTACTGCATGCATCTGAAAGCAGTAACCCTGCCCATGAAAGATGTGTTACTCAAGAGTAATTCAAAGTGGGTTACTGATTAGCACTTCTGTTCTTGCATGAGGGCATCCATGCAAAAATCATGGATAAGCATCTGTAAAGCAAGTGCATTTTAAAGCCACATCCTACCTTAATCCAAAGAAGTTAAATCATTAAGCTAGGACTCACAGCCTGCCACCATAGGAGTTTCTGAACCACAATAAATCCCAAGGAAATAAATGGGAATTCTGGCAGAGACACACACCCTCTAGTGAAAGAGTGATGGATTCTGGCCCAAGCTTAACCAATAAGCCATTGGAAGGGATGTTTATAGCAAAAAGCAAGAACACTATGACCCACCCTAGGTAGCCTGCTTTCTTTCAAATTGTAATGATAAAAAAATGAAAGCTTGCAAATTGGAATGATGGGTTTTAAACTGCTAAAAAAGGCTCCAGTTGCACAAGGAACGCCTGACCGACACAGAACTTAATGTTTCAACTATTTACAGCTATAAAAGCAAGCCAGGCACTTTTCTTTCCCCCTTCTGGAGCAACTCCTTCCACAAACCATCCAAAGCATCCTTTTTGGCAGGCTCTGGCAATGCAGAAAAGCAGGAGTACTCGAACCAACGGAAAGTCACGCCGTTATTTTTTTCATACTTGAGGAAGAAAAAAAAATTAAAAAAAGAAAACACCAAACCCAGACCACTGAGGGCAGAGTCTTACAGAAGAACTTCATTGCATAAACTCTACCACATGTCTACTACAGCAATGTCCCGTAACGACCTCTGGCGATGCAATTAATTAGCGAGTGGGCAGGGAGTGAGGCACAGCTCCGTGTGGCTTAGGCTGGTGGGTTCTGACCCACGGCTGGTTGGGACACTCATGTCTCACTGCGGAGCAGGATGCTGCATCCCCTCACCACCAGCCCAGCTCACTCCACTTCTGCAGCTCTGTTTGCCTGTGGTTTCCATTTGCGCCCTACCCTCGAACCACAGAGCAGCAGCCAGCTTCCAGAGCAGCAGAGCTGGCCTGTCGTGCTGGAAATAGCCCGTCAACCCCCTCAGTGAGGAAGTCTCATGTGCTTTTACGCTGCCCTGCATGGGTTTGCTAGCAGCTAAGCAGGTTCACTGGGGGACCAATATGGGCTGGGGGATGGTCAGCTTGCAGAACAGATCTCTCCCTGAGGGGCTGTGTGTGATGAGCTCAGTGGACTCAGAGGACACAGCGTCATCTCCCAAGGGGAACAAGGAAGATAGCTTCAGATCTGGCAAACCACTGCCTTTCTGCCCTGGCAGCAGTCCCAGTGCCATGCTGAAATGGATGGCCTCGCAGGGAAGGGGAGACATACCAACACATACACGACATGTTGGCTTTCCAGCTCCACTTCCACCCCAGCAGCTGTTCATCCGGGTGCTGGTCCCTGGGCCTCAGCACTCCCCAACCACAGGGATAAGGACGTGGGCAGGCAGCAGCCACCAGGCAAAGCGTGTGCTGGACAGCGGCCGCATTGCCACCGCCCCATGAAGTGCCATGCACGGGATGCCGGGCCCTGGTTGATGCTTACCTCGCGGGTGAAGAGGATGGCGGCGTCGTAGTGCTCGTCGTGATCGTCGTCGAGGCGGTTGTGCTGGTGCTGCCACTTGCAGAAGTTCTTCAGGGTGGTGGCGGCGTTGCGGTTGACTTCCAGCCCCTTCTCCTTCTCGCCTAGAACCACCACCTTCACAACGGCCAGCCGCACGTGGTTCTCCAGGCTGGCGTGCGCGTAGAGCCGCGAGGCGATGGAGGCCAAGGTGAGCAGGTAGTGCTGCAGCCCCTTTCCGTACTTGCGCGCCATGGACGCGTCGGCCACCAGCAGCAGCTCCACCTGCCGGGCCCGCGACACCGAGCGACGCCGCCGCCGCCTCCGCCGCCCGCTCTCAGACGCCGCCGCCGCGCCGGCCGGACCGCGGGTCTCGCAGCTGGGGCGGGCCGGCAGCGTCTCGAAGCTGAAGCGCTCCCTGCGAAAGAAGTGCGGGGCGCGGGCCGGGCCCTCGCCGTAGATCCGCGGGCCGCCCTCCTCTTCCTCGTCCTCCTCATCCCCGCCGCGCCGCGCCGGCTTCACGGTGTAGCGGGCGCGCCCGACGGCGAAGAAGCCGTCGAGGCCGCCGCAGAGGTTGAAGACGGCCAAGGAGCGCGGGCTGCCGTCCACCGTGCCGCGGTAGTAGCAGCGCGGCGGCCCGCCGTTCCGCGGCGCTCCCGGCGCCTCGTCGCGCTCCAGGTCGAGGAGGAAGCGGCGGCCGCCGGCGTAGAGCACGAAGCCCGCCCTGCCGCCCCCCGCGTAGGTCGGGTCGAGGCGCCGCACGACGCCGCTGGCCCCGCGGGGCGGCCCCGGGGGAGGGCCGGGCCGGGGCGGCGGCGGCGTTGGGGCGGCCCCGGGGGGCGGCGGCGGAGCTCCGGCGGCGGCAGGTGGCGGCGGATGGGCCGTGGCGAGGGGCAGGAGGGCGGCCAGCAGCAGGGAGAGCGGCGCGGGGAGCATGCCCCCGGCAGCAGTGATGGTCACGGAGGACGGGGAGCGGGGGAAAGAGCCGGGCGGCGGAGTGCAGAGGGGAAGGAGAGAAGGGAGAAGGAGGGAAGGGGGGAAACGAAGGAGAAGAAAGTTCTGCCTCCTGAGCGCGAGTCAAGTGTGAGCGGGAGAGGGAAGGATGTCAACAAAAGCCGCTCGCGTGTGAACTTTGTGTTTCTCTGCAGGGAAGAGCCAGGAGCACATGGAAGGAGAGAGAGAGAGGCGAAAATCGCAAATCCCCGCTGCTGGGGAGGCGGAGGGGGAGAGAGGGGAAGGAGGAGAGAGGCTCGGAGCCGGCGTGCAGAGAAGTTTGAGCGCTTCCCGCTCCTCTTGCACTTCTCTGCTGGAGTCAGCGGCTCATCCCCATCAGCGGCAGCAGCGGGACGAGGACAGCTCTGCTGCGGCTCCGCGCTCCCCGGCTCCGGCGGCTCCTTCCTTCCTTTGCCCCCTTCGGTTTGGAAGAGAAGGAGGAGAAGGGGAGAGGAGAAATTCAGGCACCAAACACCGCTTCGATCGTCTCCGGTGAGATGATGGTTAAAAAGAGAAAGAAAGAAAAAAAAAAAAAAAAAAAAAAAAAAAAAAAAGAAAAAAAAAGCCGAAGAAGCGGAAAACGTCCCGGATTTTGGTGCGAGCCCCCTCCTCCCCTTCTCCTTTCTGTTGTTGTTGTTGTTATCCCCAGTCTGCCGATGTGAACAAGAGGAGAAGGGAGAGAAATGTGAAGATGAGAGGAGGTGGAACAATGAATTTATAGCGGAATGCCATCCTGCAATGGCAATTTCAACAATTCGTCACTGCAGGCTGCCTCTTAAAGGGAGAGCTTCAAAACCACCACTCCCACACTTCCTTCTCATTTAATCAGACAGAGAAACTTGAGGGGCGGGAGGAGGAGAAAGGAGAGAGAGGGAGTGAGGGAGAGGGAGGCAGGAGGGAGGAAGCCGGGGAGGGGAGAGACCGGCAGAAAATGTTTGTGTTCTCAAAAACGCCGCGTTTCCTTTGGATCACTTAAAGCCGCAGAGCCACACGGTGTGCGATACTTCGCGAGCGATCACCTCGCGTTCTGCCAAGTTCCCCCTCCGCTGCAGCCCGGGCTAGGAGCTGCGGGGCTCGGAAAGGAGAGAGCGTTCCGCAGCGCTCCGGGAGAGTCCCGGCCCCTCGCTGCCCCTCGCTGCCCGCGGGCTCTGCCCCCGCCCAGGGTAGCGGCGGCGGCACCGGGCTTCCTCCCTTTGTCCCCGCGGCCCGCAGCTCCCAGCCTGTCATTAAGGGTCGGCAAGCTGTCATCTCGCTGCGGCGGGCTGCCATTAGCCCGAGCGCCCGAGGAGGAGGGAGGGCGGGGAAGAGTTAATGCTCTCTGTGACCTTACGAGTGACTTCAGATGCTCGGCTCCCCCCCCCCCCCCGCTGACCGACACGCGCACCCACGCGCTCGGTCCCCTCTCCTTCCTTCCCCATCCCCGCGCCCGGCGGGGACACCGCAAAGGGCAGATATCCGGGTGCACTTTGTCATCGGCTCTTTCCATGCTGACACTGCCCGCAGGCAGAGGGGACAGCACAGAAATCCCCGCTGTTTTCTCTTCCTTGTGCCTTTGAGTCCCGCGGAGGCGAGTGCCCGGAGCAGGTGCTCTCTGGTTGCGGGACGCACGGAGGGATGCGGCTTCCCCGCCTCCTCCCAGCCGCTGTCAGCACCGCAACCCTCCGCGCCACGCACCGAGCGAAGCGCGCACCGGCACCGCGCTGAGTGGGAAGCGGTGCTGCGCAGCGCAAAGAGCAGCACAGAGGGAGAGCGTTGGAGGCTGTTCTCAGAGTCCAACGCGCTTCTGTAAAGAACGGGTTAACTCACACCACGAGCGCTTCACAAATTAATATTCCCGGGTAAATTACGCATTAACATATGCCCGATCTGTAATTAGATCGCCCTGAGGTTATGCTTATGAAACATTTAACGCACTGAAGGTTTGCAGGTGTTCTTTATTCTTTTTTTTTTCCCCCATTTTTTTTTCTTTTTTTCTTTTTTCTTTTTCCGGAAACAAGGAGACATGCAAACAAAAGTTCATTGCTCAGATTCCCCTTGCTTGTTTTTCTGCACTTCAGCAGTTTGCCGTCATCAAAAATTCTTCACTGGAGTTGGTAAATTCCAAAATTCTGTCCTATATCTGGGAGGTCACTTGACGTTCTTTGGGCATCAATCCAGAATTCTTCAACATTTTTTTCAAATTTAAATATTTTCTCAGTTATTTTAAAGTAGCTATAAAGTTAAAACAGTCGATTTTCTTTTTCTTTTTTTTTTTTTTCTTTTTTTTTTAAAGGGAGAGAGAGAAGTGTAAGGTGTGTTTTGATGAAAAAAAGAACCTGTAATTCATCTCTCGCTTTTTCTTGGATGGCTTTTACTTTTCCTTTGAGCCTCATGGATATCTCTTCAGCAACAACAATATTTTTATTGACTTCAATGAGACCTGATCAAGCCCTGGATTCACATATATGTCTGCATCCAAACTCCCAAATGCCTTTGGGAGTTGTGCTAAGGATGAGATCTAGGATCAGGAATGTAGTTTGGATAGCAACCTCAGAAACTCTCATTAAAAAAGCGTTAGTTTGTCCATGAATAGGCATATAGCACACAAGAGGCTGGTGTAATGTTCTCCTCTGCTACAGCATAATTCCAAATGTCCAGCTAGATAGCCTAGGAAAAAGAGAAATGCTTAGAAGGGTCAGTGGTAATTGAATGGTGCATCTCAGTGCTTGTGTGTTGTCTCGTCCTTCATTTCCCAAATGAGACAAAAAAGCTGGCTAAATGTCCACAATGCTGCGTTTCACTAAGCAAGGATCTAGGCTTTCCAGGATGATGCAAATTAACCTGTTCAGATTACCCGGTGGATTTTGAAGCCTTTCCTGTATAGATTTCAAAACTGTAGTAACTCATTAGTGCAAGAGTGGAAAGTTAGGTCAATCATGCCTCATCTAACAAGAGGAAACCTCTTCTAGCTTGGGAATCTTGAAGGATAAATCACTTAAACAAGTTGTCTTCTTTTTCCTCCCAAGTTTGCCCTTTCAGACCCTTTTTACAGTTGCAGCATTCCCTTTAAACAAGAAAGCCTGTTAGCATGTCCAAGTTGTGGATGGCACTAAATCCTTGTCAAACAGTTCTGACCTGGAAATCAGAAATCTGACCTTTCCCAACTGAGAGATAGAGAGCCACAAATCCTCAATTATCTTTAAGACACAACACGAGTTTTGTGCACTTTGGACCAAATTCAATCCTGATGTAAAAAGATGCAGTCCCCTTGAGTCTCCGGAGCTGCAAGCTGCTTACATTAAGGCTGTACTTCAGCCCTTGGTTTTGTCCATGAGACTTAACTCTTAATTAAGCTTAATTCTTACTCCTGGAGAATTAATTTCCCTTCAGGGTTTGTTGTTTGAGTGTTAGGAATGCCTAATGTTTCTATCTAATTGCACAGTGAGATGAATTGCTATGGGACATACTTGTTTTTTCTATCTATCAAATTATAGGAAGATTGAATCAAACTCAAGAAATCCACCATCTAAATATATTCTAAATTAGCATAAAGAACACAGCCAAAAGGTGGGAACTGGACATAGATTTTGGGAAATTCCTGTCCTTGAATCTACCTGTTGCAACATGCTTCCTAACATGGGGCAGCTTGGTGTGTCCTGAGAATAGAGAGTCTTTGTTTGCTTTATGGGACATTTTCAGTCCCATTCAGCAGGATCAAGCTCACTTGCAACAGGAAGCTGTTCAAATCTTTATCTCCCACAAATCCATCAGTTTCACCACCTTTCAAATCCAGCACATTTTCTTGGTCTTGTCAGGATTTTTAGCAATCCAGACATTATGATTATAATATTCAAATCTATTAGTTTTAGAGATTTCCTATGGTGATGCATTGAAACCACTGAATACACTTATTTCTCAACTGCTCATTATTAAATTAAATACTCATTATAAATCATTTTGCAAAGAACATTTACAAATGAATATTTTTGGTTAGTTTTCTGGAAAAGTCTAGATATACCAGTGTTTGGACTAAGCCATACAGCTTTGACTCCCACTCTAGAGAAACAGCATAGTCAACACTGTTCCTTACTTTGGACTGTGTGTATTTCTGTGGCTTAAATGCTCTTGGAAACCCATTTAGGATGGAGACCTCCTGGTATTTGTTTTGACTGAGTCTATCTCTTGCTTTTTGACACTGATGTAGGTTTGTGGTTGATAAGTGAGCCAACATCACCATTATTGGTGTATCCTTCCCGCCAGCCTTACCAAGTGAGTCGGGAACTGAGTGGTTCTGCACACTGAGCTGACTTCTTCATCTTTCTCATACTGGATGTGACAGTGGCAAAGGCAGTAGCAAAAAGCTTTCTTTTGGCTGCACATTCTCTCATTTTCAGGGCTGTCATTTCCTCTAAACAGATTATCTTTTTTATAGAGCTCAGTTCCAAGTTTTTGTAGACCCTAAATTATTTATTTAAACATCAAATTTAAGCATCAAATAACGCATACCTCAGAAAAACCCAAACAATTTAAAAGTATTTTCATAATGAAAATACATAGTGAAGACAGACTGGGAGGAGTGCAGCTGCTTACTGAAAGCAACCCTATGGAGAAGGACTTGGGGGTTCTAGTGAATGAAAAGCTTGACACAAGCCAGCAGTGTGCCCTCGCAGCCTGGAAGGCCAACTGCATCTTGGGCTGCATCACAAGAGCAGTGGCTAGTAGAGCAAGGGAGGAAATTATTCACCCTCTGCTCTACTCTCATGAGATCCCACCTGGACTACTGTGTTTAGCTCTGGGGCCCCCAGCACAGGAAAGATGTGGAGCTGTTGGAACGGGTCCAGAGGATGGCACAAAGATGATTGGATGGCTGGAGCACTTCTGTTGTGAAGAAAGGCTGAGGGAGCTGGGCTTGTTTAGCCTGGAAAAGAGAAGGCTCTGGGGAGACATCATTGTGGCCTTCTACTACTTGAGGGGATCTTACAAGCTGCGGAGGGACCAACTTTATACATGAATAGATAGTGATAACACAATGGGGAATGGCTTTAAACTAAAATAAGAGAAATTTAGGTGTTAGGAGAAAATTCCTTCCTCAGAGGGCAGTGAGGCACTGGCACAGCTGCCCATAGAAGCTGTGGTGCCCCATCCCTGGAGGCGCTCAAGGCCAGGTTGGATGGGGCCCTGGGCAGCTGAGCTGGTGGGGGCAGCCCTGCTCATGGCAGGGGTTGGGGTGGGTGGGCTTTGAGCTCCCTTCCAGCCTAAGCCATTTATAATTCTATGACTCTATGAAAAGACACAGACTGGTGTTCTCATGTGTGCGAGCTCCTGAGTGGCATTATCCAGATCATACCTTCATGCCCATGACAAGCTATACTGCTTATGACCACCAACTGTGGTTGCTTTAACTGTCCAGTTTTACAGTAAAAAAGTGTCTTCAATTACAATAAAATAATGAACTTAAAGTAGTTGTATTTAACAAGATATATCTTTTTTTTTTTCTTTTCTTTTCTTTTCTTTGGTGTGAAGCTGTGTAGCTTTAAGGCAAAATGTTTTACTTGCTTCTTTATGGTCAATGACATCTTCAACTACAGCCATGTGGGAATGAAGGAGACGCCTTTGGCTTGGGGTTTATGTTTTTATAATTGGCGTGTGTAAGTAATGTATCAAGTACATAAAAGTTCCAGTAGGCTAAAAACTTTACATTTGACATCAGCTTCATTCTTCTATAAGGACTAAGGAGGCAGCCTTAAGGGTTGTTAGAACTGGGTTGGGTGTACTTTAAATAGTGGTATCGTTTCAGTGTAACAACACAAGAATATTGTGAATTCATGGGTACAGTACTGACTCAAAAAAGGAAACTGTCTGGGGTCTTTGGCTGGAAATCAAATTGTTAGGTTATCTACTTAGAGGAAAAGAAGGAGCTAGGGAGATTTCTGTAAGATTAATCATATATAAAAATGTATTACATAACAAAAGTGTATCTCTTCCCTTCACAGCAGGATCCAGAGGAACAGCATGTTTGCTGATCAAAAGGAGCTGTGACAGTGTCCAGTCAGGAGGAAAAGAA